TGCTGAATTAGATCTCTAACGGGACGATACGCTGCAGTCACGCACAAATTCTGTTTCCAGCAATCAATGGCAGGATGTAATCAGCGGTCAGAACCAATAATTGAGGGGATCAAATTCATTATTCATTCCTGTACTCATAATTATAGACAAACCTTAAGATCACTTCCACTGTATCCTTCTGTCATAGCTGCCAGCTCTTTATAATACAGATCTGCTACTATCTCCTTCGCCAGAAGAGTCTTCAAGATCAGTTCCCTGCTCTCGATAGATGGTAGACCAACCATAATCCTGCTGAAATGATGTACAAGTCCACCTCGTGATTGAATTTCAGCAAAATTGACCCACAAATTTTACCCAAACTAAGGAAGTGTACGGATGTGATTTTATACACAATGTAACATACCTGCGCTCAAACCGCCTGATAATAGCTTCATCAAGGTCGAAAGGCCTATTGGTTGCTGCAAGAACCAAAATACATTCGCCAGATTTTGTCAAAAGCCCATCCCAATACGTCATGAATTCATTTTTAATCTTCCGCATGGCTGCATGCTCTCCAACTCCAGCCCTTTGCCCAAGCATGCTATCCACCTCGTCCACAAAGATGATGGTGGGTGAAACCTTTGCTGCAGCGTAAAAAGTGTTCGCACATTCTTTTCATCTTCCCTGAACCATTTCAAAGTAATGGTGGACATGGAGACATTGATAAAACTTGCTCCAGCTTAATTTGCAATGGCCTTTGCCAGCATCGTCTTGCCAGTACCAGGAGGTCCAAAAAGCAGTCTACCTCTGCAAGGCTTGAGAAGCCCACCTTTGAAGAGGTCTGGTCTGCAGAGTGGGAGCATGACTAACTCTTGAAGCGATTCCTTAATCTCATCTCTAGCACCAATGTCTGCGAATGCTACTCCAATCTCATTTGCTGGAATAACCTCAGGCCTTACCTGCTTCCCAAATTCATTATCCGGGGGAACTTCCTGTTGAAAAATTGTAATTCCCGCTATGTTACTTATATATGTCAACATGTAGAGAAGGTAAATGCCAATGGTGAACATTAATTGCCCCACTTCAAGCACATAGTGAGACAACATTATTATTAAGTACCTAATGCATTGAGGTAAAGAAATACTGAACACTTGAAGCAAGGCCATTTAAGCAGGCCACATTTTTAATCATATGAGGCAAAGTAAAGCTGCAAAAGGGGCTACTTCCCAGGTAGAATTGAAGAACCAATTATTCTTTTATACCCTATGACAAATAGCCACTTAGCCAACAGCAAAATAACAACTGCTGAAACTTGAAATAGCTTGGTAGTCCTAATTCTTCGTGAATGCTCTCGGTCTCATGATGGAATGCTCTTAGCAGATCAAATCTAAGACCTAACTCCCATCAATTCCGTTCTCCTTTTATCATTATCTCTGTAATTCATAATCACCGGCACTTCTGATGGAAGGGGGTTATCTGCGTCCTTCTTTGCTGCAGAAGCTGACTTTTCAGTCTCACTCTTGGTTTCAGGTACAGGGTTATCAGGCTATGAATCAGTTTTTGCGCTGATAGCTTCTTCTCCTTCATTTTCCTGAAAAAATAAAAGGTAACATGATTGAATAAACCTGTAGGTGTAAGGATTGGGTCTTCCTTGCCCAGTTTCAGAATTTGTGATACCAAAATTAGGCCCACCTTTGAAGACTCAGAATTTTACTCCAGCTTTACAGTGTCTTTGTCACCACTTTTGCCCTCCTCAAATATATTTAAACCATGGGACAAACTGCGAAAAAAACAAGAATGTTAAACTTCTCAATTTTTCTCCTAGGAAAAAACAGGAAACATTTGGTAACAAGATTGCACAAACATCAAGACAGAGAGGGTTAGGTGATCGCTCCTAAAAATAGTCAAAGAAGATATAGACCTCTTGGAAGATATGACAAGCTTCCCATTATGGTATTCTGGTTCCTTGTTATTGATAAGATGGTACGATAAGGCAGAGACCACAATCTCTTCAATATAATTGCTTAGAACCATCGCGTCTGAATGGCAGATTGATCCCAGATCATCGCAGATGATATCATTTCTGCTAGCCTTGGCAATGTGGTTCTTGTTATCCTGGACCTGAAGCATCTTCGTATCCTCTTCCAATTGAGCTTTCCAGATGACAAGATTAGTCTCATCTTCAGGTGGCCAGATTTCAATGTTGTACGGGAACAAAAGACTGAGCCTCTCATCAACCTCTCTATCGTCATCATCTGTGTCCAGCTTACGAGAAGCAAGTATTAGAACTGCTCCTGACAGTTTCTGCACCATCTTATGGAACAACTTTTGCAAAAGTTCTGACTGGAGAGAAGCTTCTCCACATCTCTGAGGTACAGAATGATAGGAGTGGTTTGTGATACCGAAAGAAAAACCTATAACAAAAATGATAGTGTTTAACCCTAGGAAATATAGGAGCTTGTCGGCTGTCATTGTTAGCAAAAAGACTTCAAGCAACCTAGAAAAGTCACTACAACAAGTTCGGGGACATGAAAACACTGGGGATAAGGAATTTTGACTTTAACATTAAAGAACCGTGATAACTGTACCTTTTCAAGTGACTTCAGAAATACTCTCTCATCAAAACACAACTTGCCTGGGCACTTTGGAAGTCCTGAAAGTGAAAAAATTTGCTCATGAGAACAACAAAGAAAAATATGTTTTCCCTGGAGTAGCTAACTGATGGTGTTGGAAAAGGAAAAAGAAAAAAAGAAGAGAGAGGACATAATCTGCTAGACAATAAACGTCGGAAAAAGTAAGAAATCTGCTTTTCAGGGATAAAAGGAAAATCTTCTCAAAGTTCAAGTTTTTCGTGATGCAGTACAAAGGAAAAACTACAACAGTCCCAATCACTTGTGCTAACACGCATAGCTTTAGTGCATAGTCCAAATTTATGACAGTAACTAAATCATCAACTTGATTATATCGAGGAACAAAGTGACAGATAAGGTCCATCATTTCAGTGAGTCTGGAACACATATCCAAATCAGGCATATATGCATTAATTAGCGGTCAACCCAAGAACCATCTTTTGCTAAAGAATCAAACTTGTAGCAAAGAGATCCGAACGTAACCTGAATTGATAGGAGTGCACTTAGAGTATATACTACTCGTATCGGACATTGCTGATGCTTGGGAGGATTACTTGACTCTTCCATTGCCCTAAGCAGATAAATATGCAAAGCAATTATTAGGCCAGAAAAGAAAAAAGAAGATTATGCACATAACCATGACAGAGCTTGGAATAGCATTCAAAGAATTTAGTCAGAACTGAAGGATTCAGGGTTAATTGCATAAATATCTTTGATTTTGTTACCTTGATCTAAGGTCTGTACTACTGCTTTGCCTGCTCATGCCTGCACTAAAATCATTGATTAGACTAGAAAGACAAAAAATAAGTGAAAGAAGATAGCATGATGAGTAAATTTGTCAAAGGATGGCTGGCTCAATAATCTAGTAAACTCTGTCCAAGAAGTTCCAAGCTTATTTAAGTATGTCTTACATATGAAGGTCGTCTGGTCATACCTCTTTTTTGATCTCTTGGTGGAACGCCTGAGAAGGAACTAAGCAAACCGGACATTCTGTCGAATGTCGCCTCTGATATGGACCTCTTGAAAGACTGAAAGTGAAAATAATCAGATCCACTTAAAACTTTGATATTAAATTTTTTTAAGAATGCAGCAACAAAAGGGGTCAAATTCTCTGGACCAAGGCATTGGTTTATAAATTAGCTCAATTAATTCTCATTCGCTCGACTCCATTCATACACATAGATTCGAAAAGGTCAAATAAACTAGACTATGTTACATATATCTATTTCTTACCGGTTCTTTGTTTGTGATGCCATATTTATTCTGCATCCGTTAAAAGGAATTTTAAACACGTGAGCATGATGAAGCTAAGAGTCAGCAAAAGTAAGATCACTGATGCATTCAGTCACCTTCAGTGAAAATTCAGTAACATCCAGTAGCAGCAACTTTGATTCAAAGAAATGAGACAAAGCCTTGGCAAGCATTTGCTGGTAAAGCTCAGCAAGAATTTATAAATTATACCAGGGCACGTCAAAGAACCAGGCACTTCAATAGAGACGTGTCATACTAGAGAACTTACCAGCTGGTCCGCTGAGCAGAATAGTTCTACTAGCAGGCGAAAGGTTCCGCACATGCTTAGAGAAGTCGGAATGCTTTAGATGTACATATAGGCAGCACTGGTCAATAGCGCCCGAGTTTGCTCACTGTAATATCATGAACACAGCATAATAATCAACAAAATGTTATCGGTGGAAAACTGTGCATCCACCAAATGCATTAACAAATCACAAATTCCGAGTTATGCTAAAAGTCAAACCAAATGAAGGCACGGAGACTCTATTCTTTTCAAAAGCATATAAGACAAAAAAAGGCAAAGTAAATGCATTAGTAATCTCAGAAGGCAAAACATGGTCGACAAGTAAAGCAAGACTGCAGCAGGCCACGGTGTCTTCCATTCAGAATTGCAACATATCTCTCCTATTCAACAGCGAAGAAGTAAAGACGGTACTACGGAAGGCAAAAGTTTAAACATCCAAAAAAATATCAAAGCAGCATCAAACACCAAGATCAAACGTAATCAAACCAATGCTCCATGAAGTAAACCAAAGGCCACCTTCAGTAGATCATTAAAAATCGAAAACTGTATCTTTTGTCTACTATTTGAGATAACAATCCTGCAGGAACTAATGCTCTTCTTTACTTTTAGCACAAGATGCTCTCAGAACAGTAAAGGCAAATATGCTTCATAACACCATGCTGCGCCTAAAATACAAACGACACTGACCGTGAAATTACAACAGATGAATAAGAAGATAACAAGTTCCTGCTTCTCCCGACTCAATTCTCAACCCGGCTCACTCACTCGTCGTCGTCACTGCCCGTCCAAATCTCCCCAGCTCCAAAGCTGAGCTCACGCGGATCCCGGTCCAAACCCAGGGAAACTCGAAGACGATGATCGCGCTTTCACCTTCAAAGTTCGCTCCAACTCACGCCAATCCCTCGTCAAGCTCCTCTTCTCCATATGGGAAACCTCCATCAGCTTCCTTCTCCAATTCGCTCAAATCCTCTCCATGTTCGCACTTGCATGTATGCTCCAGGAGGTTTCGGACCCTGACCATGACATTCTCGAAGTCGTCGCCCAAGGAAGCGGAGCTCTCTGCCCCGGAAGAGGAAGAGTGGCTCAAGCGGCTCCCGCACAAGACCAAGCCGCTTTACTCTCACAGCTTGCCTTTCATCGAGGCCTGGTCGAGGAACCTAGGGTTCTGTCAGAGCAGAGTGGACCGTGCGGTTCGGCTGACTGAGCTTCCCCAGTGGCACGCGCAGCTCTCTCTTGACGTCACCGACCTTTATATAAGGTAACATTGGAGCTTCGATTCCCCTGTTCTCTTGCTCGAAGGAGTTTTGGTGCTTTTCCGAGTTCATGGGATTGAGATTTCTTTCAGCGCATTTTACGCTAGCCACGTGCATGTTGTTATGTCGTGCGTTGTGTGTTCTTCCATGTGACGCAGCTATGTGGATACTAGTTCTCGGACTATAATGATTGAGATGAGCTGAAGTGTTCCAAAAACATATGCCCACATAAGGTTTTGGCATTCTGAAACGTCTTTTCCATATTCACAGATAGTAGTGCCTCCTCCTCCGATTGGGGTTGAGGAGACTAGCAAATATCACTTTGTTGGCGCTCAAATCTGGCTGATTGGGCAAGAAGAAAGAAAATGATACACTCGGCCCAAATCACTGAACAGTAGCTTGGGTAAGAAAGTCGCACAAAGCCCACTGCACGGGATACCGAAAACTCAGCACCGATAACTGCTCAGGACGATGAGATGAGGATAAGAGCAGTTACCACATCCGATATCGATACACCGCGAAACAAAAGGAGCGGCTATCGGAAAAAAAGCCAAACAATCCAAATATAGACGACAATCGAAGTTACCACATCCGGTGCCGATATATCGCGAAACAAAAGGAGCGGTTATCAGAAAGGAAGCCGATCAATCCAGAATCTAGACGACAACCGCTCGACAACGGTTATTCATCAGCGTTAGCTATAAATAGTTTCCAGGCAGTCATCAGAATGACCTTTTGCTAAACTGACTACAGAACGCATATCGTTTATAACCTCGTTTATTCAATCACCACTGTTAATTGACCTTTTATTGCACAATTTATTTTTCATCCTTTTACTTTTGTTCGCCATTAGCGTAGGATTCGTCGCTTCCTTTCTGAAACGACATAGGACCCGGTTACTCACACAAAAACCGAAGATCTTCCCCTTTGATGAAAGATTTTTCGTTCAAGGCCATTCACGGCGAAACATCTTTTTGACACGCCCGGTGGGACCATTGTGTTCCATCTCTAGGCAGTGTCAATGGCGAAGACAAGGAACTAGGAGAGTCGTACTGCTACCAACGAGGATAACTCATCCTTGCAGCATGTGGGAGAAAGGCTTGTTCGTTCCGACACATCTGACCAGAACCGCAACCCAGCCGTCGATATCGGCGTGGGCATAAGTTCTAAAGACATTCCTCGGAATCTGACTGAGGAACAGAGGAGAGAATTAGCGCCTAACTCTGCAGTGATGGCCACCATGAGAAGGATGTTTGAAGAACAATAGAACGAACTGACTAATCACATGGCCAATCATTTATCGAGAATTCTCACCCCCTCTATTCACCAATCTGGTTGCAGAATTAGCCTTGAAGTTTGGACCAACGAGCAGACCAAATGGAATGCAGGGAAGACAAGCAGTGCTAGGGATCACCCCGATTATGGCTCCCGCTTTACCTGCTGTTGCTGGTGCTTCAGGTCTAACACAACTGGTTTGAATTATGCAAAGGACTGACACCGCAGGCGATCAGAATCAAACTGGTCTGGGGGAACATTTAAATCTGAACGGATCTATAGGTTCTCTTAAGCGCGCACCCGAGAGTGTCACTGATGCAAATAGAGCAAGGGTAACTGCTGACCCTATAACCACTAGAATGGATGCACATGGATTCATTCCCCAACCATCGACCCAGGAGGTTACTCGGCAAGCTAGGAGTAGCGGCATGCCAATGACTAATCCATTAATATCGAAACAATTCCTGTGCCGATCCCGGGATATCAACCCTATAGGCCACAGGCAGCGCTTAGGGACTTGGGGGCTCGACCATCGTCACCCCCTAGAGCGCAAGTTAACTAGGAATTCTAGGCACAAGATCTTCAAAGAGACCAGCGCATGATTGAACAAGTTGCTTGTTTAGTAATGCAGTATATGGTTCTGGAAGGAGGTGTATCGAGGTCGGTATACCGCAAGCCATATCCCGATTAGGTAAACAATATCCCGTATCTAAGGGAATACAAAATTCCCGAGTTTACTATTTTCTCTAGAGAAGATGACCAATCCACAGTGGAGCACATTAGTAAATTCACGGCCTAATGCAAAGATGTGAATGACGATGGGAGAATGAAGTTGAGGCTTTTCCTTTGTCGTTATCAAAAACCTTTTTTACTTGGTATGCTGGATTGCCTGTGAACTCGTTGCAAAATTGGGAAGACATGGAGAGTAAGTTCCATACATAATCCCATCGCCCAAGTCCTGAGGTGACACTATCGGACCTAGCTACTATGTTGTGACCTACCTCACGAGGGCCAAACTCGATAAGGTGGATTTAGAGGTAAGTGTTCATGAAACGGTCCATATGGCACATCATAAAAGATGGCTTATCGAAGCGTCAATTTTTCAGTCATCCGTATGGTCCATTAATCATGAACGTGAATTTTCCCAAATTCATACCTCGCGCGACAGCGGATCGATTTTATCTTTTTTAGCAATCGCCACTAGCCTAGGTCGAGGGTCGGCTAGAATACCCAACCGATACGCAGGAATTTCGTATTGGTTTCTACGAAAACTAGAGATCATGGATTCGGGGACTAGCTTACGTTAATATTTCTATTAACGCCTTTTCGGTACCGCTAAACTTATCATGGTTGTTATCTAAGTTGTCATGCATCTATTTTTTTTTAACCATTTTTATGTCAAAGCTTTAGTCCACTAAGTGATCATGCATTTTGTTTTTGTGTTTTCATTTAAGATTCTAAACTAATCCTATATTAGTATAGAAAAGAAAGAAACAAACAATTGTATTGAAAAGTATTGCATAAAGTAAATAACCAAGGTATCGAGAGAACTAGCTAATTCTAAGTGCAAGAAAGAAAAACCTGCAACTCATCAGGTGTTTATACAACGCGAATAAGAAACCCGATGTCACGCCCCGAACCCCATCGAGCTCGTGACATACCTCCTTAGTCGATTATCGCGACGTCCTAGGATGTCGCCGACCCCACACAAACAGAGATAAAGCACTAGCGGAAGCAACAAACACCCAGACAATATTTAGAAAAGGATAATAGGGAGAATATACATTCATTACCAATTCAAACTTATACAATATACACCACTTACAATACACATAACATACACGCACACCGGACTTCTAAAGTTTACACCACCGATATCAAAAAGGACCAGTAGCCTGGGTATACTCTAACTCCAAAAAATGGGACACTTCAAAAAGGTTTACCCTACCCCCAAACTAACCCCTACGCTTTCTAGACGGCGTCCACTCCGAGTCGGTCTCTCCACAACTCGAATCTGATTCCCCCTGAGCCACCTGCTCCTCTGAGGACTCAGAATCCGCCTCAATCTCTATCGGCTCATCATCGGAATCGTCCGGAACGTCAATCGGCGGCTCTTCCTCAGGTTCTTCCTCGGGCTCTTTCTCTGACTCATCCTCTGGTTCTTCCTCGGGTTCTTCATCCTCTGGCTCTTCCTCGTCTACGGGCTCCTCCTCGGGTACTTCTCCTATATCCACATCCATCGGATCATACCCTGCCTGTGACTCCTCCAGCTCCGGATCAGGCTCAGCTACTGTGGGTTCGGGTGCTGCAGGTACCGGCTGATGTCTTGACTGTGCGAGGCTAGTGTCAAGGCTAGTCATCTCACCATCAGGAGGGGGTATAGCCGACGGATCCCAATCTCCCACTCCGTCAAAAGGGACATCAAAACCTCTAACAGGACCGAACTCGTCCATACCATCCTGAAAACACCAGGCGGTATAAGTGTGGGCTTGCCAAAAGGGTTGTCCTATATCTACCAAGACTACTGTAGTATGCTTGATCCAAATCATATCGTCACCTACAGGATACTCTACAACTGCATGGTCTGTGTGCTTGAGTATACCAAAATGCTGAGGCGGTGGCGGCGGAGGATTCATGGTCCAGGCCGGGGTTCTGAAATGATTTGGTTAAACAACCATGAGAACACGTCTCAGCAAGTAAACACCCTAAACCCCACCTAGGCTAACACGAGTCCAAACACAATATTACTCAATAAACATACAACATGCACACAATTGCACTTACCTGTGCTCTTAATTCACACAACCTGCATGTTAGTCTCAAATCCACAAATTCCAACCACATGCACTTTCCAAATTAAATTCATGCCTAGAAACAAAGTCGAACATATGTCATTTCCAAACTCCTTATTTCACATACTCGTTCGTGCACCTCACACCATTTTCATTAAACTTGACTCGCGTAATTACGCCTCAGGTCCACTTTCCATCTACGGTCCACATACGACCGTCTCATATTCACGATACTCCTTAGCCTGCATTACAGTACACGTCTCAGGCTACGTCTCTTGCCCGCGTTACAGTACACGCCTCAGGCTCAACATCCTCCACCTACGGCACAACCCGCGTAAACGAACACGCCTCAGGTTGGCGGTCTTCCGGTAATACCGGGCATCGTCCCGCGTTAAAGTACACGCCTCAGGACGGCTCAATTCCCCGCGTTACATTACACGCCTCAGGGACTAATGATCACATGAGTACACTTGCACACTGGATTTTATCTGTACCCCCGCGTAAAACGCATCAGGGTTTTTTTGTGATCACACGCACATCTCGCACGCATCAAACCTCACGCATTTCACATGCTCAATTGTCACACAAACATGCCCAACTTCCAGCCAATCCAAATCAGCCATGCTCATATAAACGGGTCCACATTTCAACCAATTATTCCACAATCCGATAAGCATGCAAGGTCGCCACTAGACCCACAATCACAGCCACTAATATGAGCATAAAATCAACATATTCATGTCTATTTCAAGCCACAATAATCACCACAAAGCAGCCACGGCACAACGCATCAAACCGACACGTTTAGTCCCCAAATCGGACCATACACTCATCATTTCGAACCACGATTTCCAGCAACCAACTCAGCAACAAATCATCCCCAAAACCATCACAATTTCATCCACAAATCAGCCAAGATCAGTCCCCAACTCAGCCTA